ATATGAATGACTCAATAATGATACTTTTCTGGGCCACAAATGCACCACAAATGGGATGGTAGAAATTGAATGTTGTTATAATGGCTTCATAGATGCCTGGATAGCCTTGGAACAGTCCCTCCCCCCCCCACTCAAATTAGTTTGCAAATCTTTGGGGCATGTACCTCAGAACCTACAGGGGTTTAGGTCTTAAGGGGGGCAGGGCTGTGAACTGCACTGAATGATTCTAAAGGTCTGTTTCAGTTCAAAACCCCATACAAATGTGGAACACTCACCCAGTATTTTGTGAACACCCTTTGAGACATGCATGACGAGCTATATTATGTAACAATGTCTGCCAGCATTCCAGCAGATGAACACAAACCCAAGGAAGAATATGACTTTACTAGCATCATCAGATGCATGGACTCAGCACATTGTGGGATTTAATATTTGCGAGACTAGCCAGTCCTTCGGAATTTGCAATAAAATCAGCTGCTGAGGCCATATGAAATTGCCTGCCTATCTCTACCAGGCAGGAGGGAAGGTTAGGAATGAAATCCTATGCCTACCTGCTGTTTCCCATGGCATGCAGCTTGACCACACTACTGGCACTCTGATCTACAATACTGGGGGCAGCTGCATTCAACACAAATGATATCAACCACACAGGTCAAGTCAAAAAGTATGTTCAGACACAGCTCAATAAGTGGCGTTTTTGCCTTAGGGTCCGGAGCTGAACCTCTGACAAACAACTGCAGATTCCATATATTATTGTATTTGATGCATGACAGGAGTTCTGAATACTGAAACCTTGTATGGAAATGCATAATAGACCTGAAACTCTATATATCATGTGCAATCAAAAGGTGTTCAGATGTTGAAAAGGAACAGGTACTTTATCTGCAGCAGTCGCAAAGATAACATTGGCCTGGCACTTACTTTCTGCTTTACAACCAGAATCAGCACCAAAAAAGTGTCATCATGTGAAGTGCATCAACTTCCCAACAATTAACTTGTAGTTTTGGGCACAACAAAGCTGGCTTTTCTGAGGCAACAGTACAGAAAGACTGAAATGAATCATCCTAGCATCCATCTCTCAAATCATAACTTGGTATGAGTGTTATATGATTTTTTATATTAACAAAGTGTGGATACAAAAGCATACTCCACCACTAGTGCTTTCTGTGCACCACCACTGAGCTTTAAGCTATTACTAACATACAAAACACCAACAGCAACTACCAATCGCCTTGCGCTGTTAAGGCCTTGCTGTAAATACATCTCAAGATCTTTAATAAATGTGCTGACTTGATTCAACGTCATGCTGTGTCAAACACTGCATGTTTTTTACATCCTAATGTTCATGATGCATTTAAATGTCCTTGTAAATATACATCACAAATGTGTTCATGTCACAAGATTAAACAGGCTAAAATAAGCAGAAAAACACCTTAAAATTCCAGTTCCAATGCACCTAAACATACCAGGGACCAACTGCACTTTGGCAAATAAAGCATTGTTGATCACTATTTGATTCTACCATCATTTGTACAATTTTCAGTGGCATCCTTTTTCAGTTTGTGTCCTATATGAGCATAACAAGTACACCACCTGTGACTGCAGTTGTATTAAGTGATCCACTATGAATCACTTCACTGCTCATATCTGGTTCTAAGCCAAATATTTCATTCCAGTGACAAATATTGCAAACCCAAGCAGCAGTACCCTGCTGAAATAAAGCACAAAGGTATTCAAGACAACAATGGTATTAGCTGACCCAATCCATCAAAAACAGGGCCATTCCTGTCAGAAAAGTACGCCACACCTTTCCATCATTACGAAAATGCCCCAGCAGAAAAGACCAAAAACCCACCTTCTGATAGTTCCAGTTCCAGCTCAGCCAGCCTCTCCTTGACATCGTCCGGTACTTTGGATGGATCCAGGTCCCCGGCAGACATGGTGCAGGCTAGCTGAAGATCGTACCATCAAGTACAATCACACATCAGCTACCACAGAAAACCAACAAAACCAAAATCAATATAAAACCCACTCCACTTCACGCCATCTCACGGACAAGCACATCCCCACACGCGCACCGCGAACGCCATAGTTCTAACGTTAGAGATGGATCAACTATACCTTAAATTTCCTAGAGGTGGACAAAGAAATCCAGCACTCTTGTACTGTAAACAAAACTAGTTGCCTGCTGTTTTTTTTTTTAAGGAACCGTTTGCGAACACGTTTGGCACACAAGCCTATGAGCCGCCAATAACAAAGCACCGAATTTAGTCAGTACAGTGTCTGTTACCATACTGGCCGTGGTCCTTAATGCAGGTGTCGTTCCGCTACCCGGCTGAGGTCCATTTCTGTACACGGTCACAGCTAGGTCCTCCGACCTCTGAGCAAAAGTAAGTATGTTATTTGATCTCGGACATCATGTGTGACCATCTGAACGACTCTGACCAAGCTAAGCATTAAAACCTGGATCCCGTAGTCTAAAGGGAGCGTGAGCCTCTGAGCAGCCCCGGTCGGATCCAGATGAGACGTGCCAGACGTGACCGTCCGATCGGACGATTCATTCGTTCAGCGTCGCTCATCAGCAACCCTGATATCGATGTCCCAGGCGTGATTCTCGGAACAGCCTCGATCAGCTCCTCCAGCAGAGGACTTTCCCTCTGAGCTGCCTCAGTCATATTCAGCCGCCCCTGGAGTGACTCTGAGATCAGCCCTGAGCATGTCCGGCCGACGACTTGTCCCTCTGAGCTGCCCCAGCCACACCCAGCCGTATGAGACGCCATTCTGAAATCGGCCCTGAGCATGTCCGACCGACGACTTGGCTCTCTGAGCTGCCCCAGCCACATCCAGGCGTATGAGACTTGACTCTGACATCAGTCCTAAGCATGTCCGGCCGACGACTTGGCTCTCTGAGCTGCCCCAGCCACATCTAGCCGCCGTGGTGTGACTCCGAGATCAGCCCTGAGCATGTCCGGCCGACGACTTGGCTCTCTGAGCTGCCCCAGCCACATCCAGACGTATGAGACTTGACTCTGACATCAGTCCTAAGCATGTCCGGCCGACGACTTGGCTCTCTGAGCTGCCCCAGCCACATCCAGCCGCCGTGGTGTGACTCCGAGATCAGCCCTGAGCATGTCCGGCCGACGACTTGGCCCTTTGAGTTGCTCCAGCCACATCCAGCTGCCCCTGGCGTGATTCTGATATCAGCCCTGAGATCGACCTCAAGAACACCACCTACAACCACAGCTTCAACGTAGCCGTCCGCGCAGCTCTGACAGTACCCAGCTGTGCACCGACGCGACCCTCTGACCGGCGGCCTCAGTCACACCCGGCCGGCCCGAACAACCCAGCCCTCCGACCGGCGCAGTCCCGCCCCGCCGCTGCGGGCAGGTGAGTCGGCAGCGGCCGCCGTGGCGAGAGTGGCGCGCAGCCGGCCGCCGCCGCGGGCGACGTGACTCACAGGCAGGTATGCACGAGCGGCGGCCGGCGCACACACCTACATCCGGCAGCCGGCGGCGGCCGAGCGTCCAGGTCACCCCGACCTGGGCCGCCTAACCTAACCTAACCTAACCAGGCCGCCCCGGCGTGGGTAGGGACACGGGGCGCCGCCCGGAGGGGAGCCTGTTAAGGCCCGGGTACGGGAGCAGATACGAGAGTACTGTCGATCGCTTATCTGCTAAGGCCGGTTGTTTGCCGGTACGCGGAAATGGTCGGCGGTTTCGTGTGAGCGGCGTCTGTAGATGTGGGCAGCTCCTGTCCACTTAGCAGCACTTTCATTTCGGGTGCATCGGGCAGGTTTCTTCCACCTTTCCCATGTAACGCATCAGTCGTTTCAACTCGCCGTTAGCTGTGTCGCTGAGGTCTCGCCACAGCCAAGCGACTGTCCACGTATCCCCGAGACAAAAGAGGTTTCACTCAGAACGTTCTGCGTTCCTTGAGGGCCAGAGATCCTCAAACGGCCTGCACCACCCGAGACCGTCAGGGGTCTGCAGAGGATGCCGAGATTAAAAGGGACCGTGAAATGATCGAGGGAGCTCGGACAGTAACAGGATCTAAGAGAGCTGCCGATCGCTAGGGTACATACAAGAGGCGATCACAAACGGCATTGATACAGAGCTGTTGAGGATAGGATACAGCCAAAAATTTAAAGATAAACAAGCGTGATTCGTGGACGGTTTAGCTGGCAGCAAGGTGACCGGATTCATGCGTAGGTCGACTCCTATTTTCCATTTACTCCTACTCTATCGACAGCAGGAACCCATTCAGTAAGAATAGGTTTCGGAATCAGCCAAGTCTTCCCAAGCCAGAATCCAAATGTTGAAAACTTTTTTTGTGTGGTCCTTTGGGTATATCTACCGTGAGTCGGAGTCGACATGGTTTGCGAAAGTGAATCTAAGACAAGTCGTGCTCATTCATAAGCTGCTTGAATGCTGCTCGCCGCAGAGCTTGAACCGAGTTTGAGGGCGAGACCTGGCCTTCAGTTGAATACATGCGTGGGCAGCTGGAAGGCTGGCATAGACCTCATGCCAGCCAATGCTGCAAGTCATTTACATGGCTGGGCCTGATCAGACAGACGTGGAGGAATCATCATGAAACGGTTGTGGGGGGGGGGGGGGGGGGGGCACAGGGGGTTTTTGTCGTCAATACTTGAAGAGAGGGAGATATATATATATATATATATATATATATATATATATATTGCTCATCTTGCCGTTTCGCTTACCTTTAAGTTTCGTGGGCATCGAGCAACTTCGAAGACCCCTTCCCCTTATAACGCTTTGCTTATTTCGATTGCCCGTCGGTCTTGCCGCCGGGCCCTCACTGCAACCAAGCGACTAATTGAAACCGTTTAACAAAATTATTTTAATAATTTTTCAACCGAGCAGCGCCGTATGACCATGTCTAACCTTCGAGTTTTCCAGTTAGGCCTTCCACCTCTCCACACCGCCGGGATTGGATCGGCGGACTGCTCAACATGCTACTCCAGAGAGAGAGATGCGGGCTTATTCTTTATTTCGCGCACGTGCGCTCATGCATAAGCATGATATGGTGAGTGCGCGAAAGTCTACGTGCGCCTGCGGTGTGTGCTTTCCTTGGGTATGTACACAAGCGGCCCACTTCTCAGAAGTGTGCTATTCTGACACCACGGGACTTCGATGCATCACGCGTTGGCAATTCTAATACATTACATGCAGGTACTTCTTGTCCAACTAGCAACCTGAGCTGTGATAAAATACGCGTGAATATCATGGTACCGCACGTCACACTCCAAAGCCCTCAATACACCTCGTGTCACGGAAGCTATGCCAACCCGCAGCACGCTGCTACCATGGCTTGAAAGCACCGGACATGTCGATGAGGCCCGGAAGGATATCTGACACTACATTATATTGCACACGACGAACTTCCGAAGAACTATTATCAGTATATCATCTAGAGGATGCCCCACCACGCCGAACAATGACAACGCAACACATATAAAAACGGGAATAGTCGCATCGAGTTCCACCAATGTGCAGTTACTCACTAGGTGTGACACCCGGTCACCAAATGCCCATCAAATGCGAAGTCACAGAACCCAACACGACGCCACATCCACCGTCCGCCTGGCGGTCGCTCTCCACACTGCCGAACGCAACTCGACCGCCGGCCGTCGGCGGCAGCACCGGCGACCGCCCTGGCAGTCGGTTTCAGTCCACTCAGACCTAGCAGCTCGGCCAGATCCCAGGCCGCCCCTCCTTCAAGACGGGGAGCGGAGGGGACCACCGTCGCCGCGACGCGCGGCTCACGCGATGACCCCGAACTGGCGTCCGACCTCGACGAAGGCGGCCACGGCGCGGTCCACCTCCTCGTCCGAGTGGCAGGCCGACAGCTGCACACGGATGCGCGCCTTGCCCTTGGGCACCACCGGGTAGCTGAAGCCGATCACGTAGATGCCGCACTCTGCGGACGGCGAGAGGGGTGAGCACGCCGCACTGCCACGCGACTGACACGCCGCGTCCCCGCCGCACGAGCGTGCGCCTCGGAAACACCAAACATCCCCGTGCTTAACTACCGGACACAAACATACGGCTCTGGGAATCACCTGCCCGCCACGCTACAAGGCCAGAGATCAGCACTGGCCCCGCGTATCCGAGGAGAGCAACCCCATCAGTTATAGACGCCGGGGCGGTGGTGCAGTCCCCCTCCCCCCCTCTCCAGCGACAGAGCCAGACGCGTCAGGGTTACGGAAGGACATCAGTACCGGGCGCTGACATGGCAAGGGACTCCGGAGTGGGCCGAGACACACTGAAGGCATCCGGGTGAAGGCATAATCGAGGTTAACAAGCAGTACGACAGTTCTATTGCTGATGATACATTCAGCAGCAAGTAAAATATCTTGAAATTCCATTGGGCGTCGAAATGCTCTGCACCATCGGCAGCAGGTATGGGTCTAAGTCACAAAACGTGATCAAATCCCAAGTCACGGCATGAGTCCTGGTGTTTTCAGCCTGCTACCGAGTTCGAGCCCACTCTGTTCAAGAGCTGGATTCCGAACCCCAAGGCTAAGGTGCAAGGCCGGCCTGAAGCGACTGGTACCAAATCCCAGGTCCCATCTCAAACTGAATTAATGTAATCAAACGTGACTGAACCAAACCCATTTTAACACAGGTCGTCTGTAAGTCCAGCATGCCTTTTTCAAAGCATGATTTTACCACAGACATGAATCTCACCTCATAGTTAAATCAAAGTGAACGTCATCAGAGTCTGATCTAGGCGCTAGTTGTGGCTCAAGCCAAGCCTGAGGCTCAGAAATGGGGATTGCATGAAGGGTCTTGCCTCGACTCCGAATTCGGCCAGATTCACACCTACCCCTGCTCGACAGCACCTCCGGAACCCGCGACCTCGCGCGGTCACCAGTCCCCCCCCCCCGGACCTACCGAGCATAGCGTCGGCATGTCGCGCGGTCACCAGTCCCCCCCGGACCTACCGAGCATAGCGTCGGCATGTCGCGCGGTCACCAGTCCCCCCCGGACCTACCGAGCATAGCGTCGGCATGTCGCGCGGTCACCAGTCCCCCCCCCCCGGACCTACCGAGCATAGCGTCGGCATGTCGCGCGGTCACCAGTCCCCCCCGGACCTACCGAGCATAGCGTCGGCATGTCGCGCGGTCACCAGTCCCCCCCCGGACCTACCGAGCATAGCGTCGGCATGTCGCGCGGTCACCAGTCCCCCCCCCCCCGGACCTACCGAGCATAGCGTCGGCCACGTCGGAGACCAGACTCACCTACCCGTGACCGGCAGCACCCCCCCCCCCCCAAGACCCGCAACCTCGCATGGTCACCAGCCCCCCCCCCCCCCCAGAGCGTCGGCCATGTCGGAGGCCAGACTCACCTACCCGTGACCGGAAGCCCCCCCCCCCCGAGACCCGCAACCTCGCGCGGTCACCAGTCCCCTCACCCCCTGGACCTACCGAGCATAGCGTCGGCCATATCGGAGGCCAGCCGGGCGTCTCCAAGCATGACGGGCGCGATCGGGTGATCGTCGCCCGCCAGTTGGAAGCCAGCCGCCGCCATCTGCTGGCGGAAGCGGTGCGTGTTGCGAGCCACGCGCGCCGTCAGCTCCGATGATGTCATCAGCATGTCGAACACCTGCAAAGAGCAGCGCGGGCTTAACGGGCGAGACAGTGTCAAGGAAGTGGATGGCGAGTCAGCGTAAGAAACAGCGGTTACAATTCGCGTGAGACCCAGGTCGCGGGTCATATGTAGTGGACGTCGTGCATGTACTGAAGATCACAGTACACACGAATGATGCACAATGAAACCAAACGGAACACCTTTCTTGCATGACCTCCCGAATGTCGGGTGTAAGCGATATAATTAATCCGTTTGTTTCATATGCAGGCAATTTCTGGTACACTATCTTTACACCACATTACCCAGACTAATCGATGACGAAAAGGACGTAGAATAACCTGCGCTCTATTTGCCACGACACTGCACCACCGCCAGGAAAACGCGGCATCAATGGGCTATCTCTACATGCGCACGCGTCCACCTGACTAAAACTGAGGCGTCTGCTCGCAATCAAGTCAGACGGCAGGAGGTTTCGAGCGTCAGCATTGGCTGCGGCGACAAAGCGTTTGGCCTACGACGGCTTGGCGTCACAGGCATGGCTTAGCCAGAAGGCTATCCACGGCCGGGCTTCCACACTGTCCCACACAACTGGCGCACGCTTGACAACCATCCGCGCCCCTTGCGAGACCCGGACCTTGCTGGCGCAGGCCACCACCGGCGGCGGCAGCGAGTTGGAGAAGAGGTAGGGCCGCGAGCGCTGGCGCAGCAGGTCGATCAGCTGGCGCGGCCCGGTGGTGTAGCCGCCCGCCGCGCCGCCCAGCGCCTTGCCCAGGGTCGTGTTGATGATGTCCACCGAGCCCTGCATGCCGAAGTGCTCCTCCGTACCCCTGGCGGGGCGCGCGGGACGGCGGGTCGGACCGGGCGGCAGCGCGTCCGTACGGCACACGATGCTTGGTCTGACACCGCCATGCACACTCCGCCGCAGGCGACACCACGCGACAGTCGCCCTGGTTGGTGAGAAGAGGGTGCTTAACACCTGTCTCCATCTGAGGCGCCTGCGCCAGGAACATTGCACCGTTCGATTTAAACCTCCTTAATGTTTATCGGTCCACCTATATGGACTGTATTGCCCAGTAAATGGACAACAGGCAATTCAATCCTCGATTTCACAAGATCATTCCGACGCTCACGCTAAAAAATCGCGCTTCCTCGCCCCAATCTCGCGCCCGCTCGTCCACCCGGAAAGCTGAGGGTACCAGGCCCGTCTGACCCGGCCCGCCGCTGGCCGAGGGCGGCGCCGTCTCCCTCACCGGCCCGTGGCGCCGAAGAAGCCGGTGGTGTGGCACTCGTCGAGGAAGACGAGCGCGCCGTACTGCTGTGCCAGCGCCACGATCTCGGGCAGGGGGCAGACGTTGCCGTCCATGCTGAACACGCCGTCGGTGACGATCAGTCGCATGCGTGCCGACTGCGCCTCCTGCAGTTTCGCCTCCAGGTCTGACGGGGAGGGGTAGAACTAGAGACAACACTCCGGGTCTGGTGAGGAGATGCTAGGACGAGAACGGGCACAGCTAGAGGCAACACTCCGGGTCCGGTGGGGAGAGGCACGCGTGCGAGGAGGGACACAGCTAGGGACAACATTCCGGGTCCGGTGAGGAGAGACACTCGGGCGAGAAGGAACGTAGCTACAGACATTACCCCGGGTCCGCTGAGGGGGGGGGGGGGGGCACTCGGGCGAGGAGGAACGTAGCTACAGACATTACCCCGGGTCCGGTGAGGGGAGGCACTCGGGCGAAGAGGGGCGCAGCTGGAGGAAACAAACCAAAGCTACAGCAGAAGCTTCGAACAGCCGAAGTTATAAGTACACACAGGATCTGGCGAAGGACAAGCCCACAAACACAAATCACACAAGCCAAGGCACCTATCACAGATCCGATTTCGGGAGAAGACTGACATTCTCCGGACTACAACCCGAGCGATGGCTGTGGTGATGCCTAATGAGGAGGCAAATACCTGAGTTTAGTTTTGTGACAAAATTAGCCATATTCTACGAGTTCTCCTACGCACTTTGGGGCCTAGCACTACGGAAGTTACAGCCAACCGATAACGGCACTCGTCAACTGTACTCTAAATAATCTAAACACACATTTCACATCAGACATGGGCACACATACACGCCTGTCCCACGACAAATGTCCCGAAGCCGGCCGACGCTCAGTTTTGCACAGCTCGTGCCCTGGTGGCCTACCCTTCATGTCCTTGTGCTTGTAGCGGTACTTCTGCGCCTTGCAGAGCCGGATGCCGTCGATGATGGAGGCGTGGTTGAGCTCGTCCGAAAGCACGGCATCCTCAGGCGTCAGCAGCACCTCGAACAGACCAGCGTTGGCGTCGAAGCAGCTGGCATACAGGATGGTGTCCTCGCGACCGTGGAACGTGGAGATCTTCTCCTCCAGCTCCTGCGGCGCAACGCGACGTGGGCCGGCGGAACACTTGATGCACAAAACAGCGCGATTTTCTGCAAGAGCACTTACCTGAGACTACCAAATTTACTACAGCAAAAGACAAAAAACTCAGTGTTTTGATGCCCACATATTTGTACCGAACACCGAAAAAGATCGAAAAGGGTGCTTCACGCAACACGTTCGTGACACGAGCGAATCACAGGACAAATAGTGACTTGTGGGCTCGCGGTCATTTCCACCGCTCAACAAAATACTTGGTCATGGTCGCGAAAACAACTAGACACCGGTACAAACAGCTCCATTTCAGGCCTTTAATTGAGCCGGTGGTGAGTTTGGCCGGACATGGCCCGCCGTGACGTCACGGGTCGGAGCCCCGGAGAGCCAATGAGAGCCGGTGCTGACCTTGTGGATGTCCTGGGTGCCGCAGATGAAGCGGACGGAGCTGAGGCCGGCGCCATACTTTTCTAGAGCGTCCTTCCCGGCCTGCACCACCTCTGGATGGCTCTGGAATGGATCCGCTGACGTCAGACCGCGCGAGCGCCCAGGGCCGCTCAGAGAGGTCAGCATAGCAATTGATCTGCCGACAACGATGAATTGGGTAATGGATTCCGAGTCGTACAAACTGTGTGCTCCCTTAATGCACTTTCGGCGGAAAAGCTACGTCCATTTTCACGTGCACAATATGGACCTTACGTCCATTCAGAAGAAAATCAGGTCAAATCCCGCGGAGATCGGAGCCATCACTCCAAGCTTCATCAAGCCCGTTTCGCTCCGGCTGCGATTATGAAGGACACTTGAGTCCGGCTGCGAGGAACTTGTCAAGAATAAACAAGCCATGCAGTCACGCCGGAAGACGTGCCGTCGTGTTTTGACAGCCTCGGTTCCAGTGGCCGTCCGCGGCTGGTCGCTGGGGGCCCCGCGGCCCGTTTCAAGATCACATCACACGACTTGGCGGCCGGCGACGGCACGTCAAATGAGGCGAATCGCCGCTGGCGGGACCAGACTCGCCGGCCGGCATTGCTGGCTAGCGGCTGCCAGCCGTGCCCACGGCCGCCGCTGGTGCTAGGGCCGGCCGCTGTGACTGCAGACCGGCCGCACCCGCCGGCTGGCACTGCTGGCTGGCGGCCACCAGCCGTGCCCACGGCCGCCGCTGGTGCTAGGGCCGGCCGCTGTACCAGCAGACAGGCCGTGTCCGCCGGCCGGCACCGCTGGCTGGCGGCTGCCAGCCGTGCCCACGGCCGCCGCTGGTGCTAGGGCCGGCCGCTGTGACTGCAGACCGGCCGCACCCGCCGGCTGGCACTGCTGGCTGGCGGCCACCAGCCGTGCCCACGGCCGCCGCTGGTGCTAGGGCCGGCCGCTGCACCCGCAGACCGGCCGCGCCCACGGCCGTCGCTGGTGCTAGGGCCGGCCGCTGTACCAGCAGACAGGCCGTGTCCGCCGGCCGGCACCGCTGGCTGGCGGCCGCCAGCCGCGCCCACGGCCGTCGCTGGCGCTAGGGCCGGCCGCTGTACCCGCAGACCGGTCCTGCCCACGGCTGATGACTCCACCCACCGCCGGCCGTCAGGTCCACAGAGAATGGCTGTGTCGGTGGCAAGTTTACAGCTGTAGATTGTGTCCGGTGGGGAGTCGTTCACGGTGTGATAGCATCATACTGGCATTAAAACCGACAGCCCATCCGGACGTCTCAGTCAGGGACACGGAAAAGCACGGTCTAGCGAACAAATAATTATGCCCGAGCATGACATGTGGTGTCATTGTGTTGTGGAGTGCGACCATAACATTATCGACACATCGATGAACACCAAATGTAAAAAAACAGTGTTCATGCCCAAGCACACTCTGGATTTGTATTTCATTTTGCATCATGCGAAAAACCAAAGTTGACGCCAACAGACAAAATCAGGAGGGTGGTTGCCGGTCGAGGAAGATTCACACTACTTTTCGAAGACAGCGCTTGATCAGCACATAACTCAGGGTCTCTAACACCACAAACGTGCCGCACGCCGGGACCAACTAAGAAACGACACAACAAGCCATACGAAGCTGGGAACAACGCACACCGTTCTGCGCTACGACCATTCAGCCCGGTAACATTCGCGCAAACGACAGCGCGCTCCGTGCCATGCCGCAGAAGACGTTTCAGCTGCGTGCCACCATTCGGCAGTCCCCGGCCATGATGCGGAGGGTGCAAGCCACTCGGACGGCGGCGGAGTCGAGTGAAGCGGCGTGCGCCACCCGCCGGCACCGCTCGAGAACTGCGCCGCCTCCGCGCTGGCTGCTGGCGTCCGCACCGCAAGGTCAGTGTGCTCACAGAGCACGGCAGTGGCGCGCGCGTGGGCGGCAGCCGCCCGGTCCGACCTGCTCTCGACGACAATGTCCCGCGGCTTAAGTTCAGGCCGTCGTTGTCCGCACGTCTTTCTAACAAAGCTCAGCAAAGAGCGATGTGTATGCCCCCACCAAGACTGTTCTTCTGCGCAGTGGATCAGCGCCATTTGCCGAAGCTCAGCCCATACCGGACAGCAGCACGCGCGGCGCACACCGGCCGCCAAACTCGGCCACGACACACCAGAGAGCCCCGTCACATCACGACGCGTGGCAGCTCCGACCCCGGCCTCTAGCGGCGGCGGCGTGCGCATCATTAACCCCCGCCAACGGCCGGTGAGCGGCCGTCCGCGTTCACAGCGTGCAGTCAGCTCGCAGCCCGCCACTCTGCCCCGCATCCCTCTCAGCACTCACGCATGCGCACTCGGTGCCCGGTGGGGTGCGGGGGTGGGAGGTGGGCGAGGTGGAGGACGTGCCGGACAAACGCCCCGCATGCGGTGCAAGCGGGCCACCCGTGCCCAGCGCCGAGACGCATCTCTCCCCGGTGCACTGCCGGCCACACATGCATGCCTTACGGAGAGACCCAGGTAATTATTGGCGCAGAAGTTGAGCACGCTGCCGTCGCGGCCGCGCACGTGGATCGCCGCGTCCTGCTTGGACGTGATGACGCGCTCCGTCTTCCAGGTGCCCGCCCCGCGTATGTCCTCCAGCTGGGCGTCCAGCAGGGCGCGCGCGGCGGCCAGCGCGCTCTGGCGCCGGGCCGGCGGTACCAGCTGACCGGCGCGGACGGCACGCGCGCCTGTCACCAGCGGCCCGGCACGTGCTCAGACCGGGGCGTGTTGGCAGTGACCCAGTGTCAAGCTCAGGTCTCACAGGCGCTGGCTGGGAGAATGAATGCACTGGAATGGGTCTGCTGTTCCGGGAACAGGCCGGAAGAAGGTGCGTCGATACTGGGGGCAGGACTTGTATGCGTCAATACTTGGGGCAGGATGTATGTGCTCTGTAGCAGTCCAGCTCAAATGATGCCACAGTCCCTGGAGAGCACTGGAGCTAGATTTAGCAGAATGCCCTGAGTCCAAGGGCCCCAGGATGTGTTCTTTGGAGCTCCAGCTAGGCCATTACAGCCTCTGCCTGCACAGGATCTACTGGGGCACACCTGATGGCAGTCCCTGAAGTTGGATTGAGACTCATCCCTGGGTGAGATCCAGCATGCAACTGAGAGATGTTCCCATGTCAAAGTGGGCCCACAACACTGCATCTGCTTATAATCTCTGGGGTCAGATTTCATTTTTAGTGCAAAATAGGTTTTCACATACTTTCTTGGGTCCCACAAATTGCCTCTGGGCAGATATCATGCTGCAACACATGCAGCTTCAGATTGGTGACAGTCCCTTAGCATGGTGTTACCATTAATGACACTGATCCCCTATGCAAGACGACAGGATGCATAAGTTGCTTCATGTGGTAATGCTCCCTGTCATGCAGGTTCCTCAGGCATGACATGTCACATAGGTCCCTGCACCTGTTTCCATCATGTTCATGTGATAGCCATGCTTAAACATGACTCATGGACAAAATTGGAGCAGCCTGCAATGGCTCAGATGTTTAACATTAGTGCAGTCTGAATCTGGTCTTCCTTATGGATCAGATTCAACATACTATGTGACAGATACTCTTCCATAACAAAATAGCATCTAAAAGAAAAATTGGCCTGTTGATTCTACTTCTAAGTTTGTTATCATCACCATGAACATGCAGGTCTGATTGTGGAATTACATCTAAATAGTAAGTTGTTAAGGCTTTTGGTGGTGAACAGCCACTGGCAGGTCATTAACTATTAGCTTAAGTGGTTGACTTGCCATTCTTCTTAAACATGTTGGTTGCACAAGGTTTTTCCAAAAGTTGAAGGTAATGATGAAAACTTGTGCAACAATGTCCTATCAAATTGTTTAATATTGTCTAAATCTGACTGAAGCCGCAATGTTGCCTCTTGTTAATTTTCATGGTGTGAGAGGAAAGGAGAGCATCAACTACATGTTCAGAGCATAAGCATAAGAGTGTGGTTGGTGTTGACCACTTCACAGCCATTTCAATATATGAATACCAGCAGTGGCTCCTGCACTGTCCCTGGGGATATCTTGCAATGATGTTTTGCAGTGCTAGGAGTTCTTTACCCATAGCTATCCTTGGCTTCTCTCAGAGAATCACAAACAAAATTGGAAGCTGCAAGCATACAACATGGAACAGGCTGCAATTCAGCATTTTCCACACATGCAAAGGCAAAAACAAAAACAAAATTCACCAGACCATTCTAGGAATATGGGTAGAATCAGAACTAGGACTATGGTTCAAAGTACATGAATGGTTGGGAGTTGCAGTAAGGTATTATTATATGCCATCTCTCCATGGCACTATTATGCCAGACATGTTTAGCATAACATGCATGATTTGCAGTCTACTCCCGAGTGCCATATTCAAGATAAAGTTTACACATTTGCTACACACTGCTTGTCACACCCAGCTTTTGTGGAATGGTGCAGTATGTCTATTGATATTACATAGTGTTTTATGCTATAGTGTATGCCTCTAAGCCTGGGACTGTTATCCATCTACTCATGGTCACTTATTGGACAAGATTGTTCAGCTGCTTGGGTTTCCCAGTTTCAAATTAACACTTGTTTCATATACAAAGGCACACAGATACAAGGCTGCAGCAGAGGCATGGTGTTCCTCGAACCGCGTGGTTAACAATACGCCCTTGACGGAAAATTTGCAGTATTCAGTCCTAATTTGTGGAAATTGAGACATTTGACAATTATCCCACCTGCTGGGAGTGATAATACATTACCAGTTAATCGAACTGACCTGATCTGACGAATGAAAGCATCATAAACTGTGTTCCTATATTGAACGCACTGTCCGATACCGGCTCCGCCCCCTCAGCAGTACTCGCCGCTGGCACGGGCAAGGATGTGGGGACGAGCACTGGAACCGACTGCACAAAAAGCAACGCAAATGTCGCATTCGCGCCATCCGTCTTGTGAACCCTTGCCACCAAATATGCCTAAATGTCCATGGGCGCGCGACAAACGCCCATTCCCACCTATTCCCTATCTGGAATATATTGCTTTGCACCCCCACACCTCACCTCTTGGTGATGTTGCTGGGTTAGCAAAACATTTGGATGGTCACTTTTTTGGGTGTGAATCCGGGATTCACCGAAATGGAGGTCATTTACATTTTACAAGGCGCTATCGCGGCACTAGGGTCATACAGTCTGCTGGCCCCGTTACTCCAAATTGAATATCACCTTATTCATCCCTTCTCGCATATCGGTCGCGAAAGCAAGCGCGCTAGAAAAGCTTGCTGTTGAAACTTTATCATCAGTGAGACGCTGAACATGTTGCAAACAGGATCCTTGGTAGGTGCTGTTCAAGCTTTGGGAGCCTCCCCATGGATTCAAACAGAAGCCCATGGGAGGGGGAGGTTACGCCTTCTTCCATCCCAAACACACAAAGACCTCTGTTGGACCCGGCCCTGTTACCGATTTGCAAACCAGTTTAACTAATAAACTCGTTATTTTCAACTGTGCAGGTGTATAAATGCCTTTTAACAACATCTTTGCATGGGACCCATAGAGGAAAATCGTCTTCCAGCGCCATGAAAGCGGTCCGCGATTCAGTCGGTTACTCCTTGGAAGAAAACGGGCATGCAGATCGCAACTCCGTCGCCACTATAGGCATGAATTGCAAACGCCGCGGCATTACAAATGCTTTGTCATGCCATCAACTCGCCAATGCAAAGCCCGTGACTGGGCAATTGGCCGCAGTCCCTTCTTGTTTTCGAACTGATGTCTATTGATGCTGGCGCGCTTCGGCTTCAGGTTATACCACAAGTTGGGTAAAATGCAACAAATCTGATCAGATATCTGCGCCATATTTGAAAGGCTCGATCTGCGCAGATGCCTACATCGCGCCGACCATGACAACGACCCACTGATGGTTCGCGCGTATCCGGCACGAGCGCCAGATTGAAGATGCCTACCATCCCCTGAACCTTTCTGATATTTCCAATATTTTTCACACCGTGCTGAGCGAACTCCAAGGAATGACTTCCGAGACAATGTCGCAGCCATGAACGGCGTGAACCCGCGAGACATCAAAGATGCCCATTGGCTGAGCCAACGGCTTCACGTTTAACGGACCTTTACCGCAGAGCCGGGCCTGGGACGCAATGCATGCCAACCGCCCTCTTACTGGCCAGGAACCAGAGCACCACATGTGCAAAACCCTGTCCGCATCCAGCCACGTCGACAAGCCTTGCCCGCATCAAGCCATATCAATACAAACACACACTGCCAGCACGTTAACCGAACTGTATTCATTAAATAAAGATAAAAACGGGCAAATCCGAGTTTCGTTTACAGGTTATCAGTAATGAAACTCACAGTGACCGAACTTTCGCCTAAATATTTTCGAACGACCGGAACGCTCAGGCTGCCGGTGCCGACAAAATCACTCCACAGATGGCAGCACTGCTGGAGCGGGTCCTATTTCAAGCACTGGCAAGGTTCAGGCGGAAGGCGAATGCGTGTGGCGGCTAGCCGGCCCGCAGCCGACGCTGTCCACTAGTGGAATCTAAAGGGAATGCCATATTGTCGGTTGCGGTAGAAAACCTTACGTAAACGCGTTCCAAGGCAAGGGTCGCCCGGCGGCCACGCAGGGCGCGTCACGCAGTGCGCACCCCTGCCGCGGCGCCCCGGGAGCGGCGGCGGCCGGGCCGCGCCACCTGTGCGTGCGTTCCGCAGCTACTCTCAGAGAGCTATACTGTACAGTGCTGCTGTGCGCAGCAGTGGGCGGCGCCGCGCCGTCGGCCAGACGCCCGGGCAAGCGGGCGCAGCCACCCCTCCCCTGCCCTTCGAAGTGTCCTGCGTGCGCCTGAGCAGGCAGCTCCGCCGTCGGCCAGACCCCGCGCCACGGCGTCCAGCCTGCGCCTTTTGATTCCACGCACGTCCGTACAGAACTCAAGCAATCCAAGCGTAGCACTAAGCTCATCATAATCTGTCCTGAGAAACAGCGCACACTCGGGTGGGGCACTCACGCAGGCCGCGGGGGCGCCCGCGCCCCCGGCCGCTCCCGGTCCTCACAGTACCCGCACGGCGCCGCGGCGCGCTCTCAGAACAGCGACCGCACTCAGTCTATACACGGGCCTCGCGCGGGCCGCCGCGCGCGCGCGCGCGCGCGCGCAAATAAACCGCTTGGACCCAGGGCGCGCGGCGGAGAGCAGGCGGCGGAAGACGGCATCGGCGGGCGAGATTCTACGGCCGTCGCGGCGCGGCGCGGCGGCCGTTAGCTGGCCGGCACGACGGCCGGCTGCACACGCAGTGCCCGCAGCCGGCCGTCGATCAGCTTGGTCAGCTCGTCCCGGTTCATCTGGAACGGAGCGGCGGCCGGTCAGCGGCGGCGGCGGCGCCAGGTCGCCGGGAGAGGTCAGAGGGCCGTAAGAGGCGAGGCCAGAGTGTCACGACGCGAGCCAAGAGATTCGCGAGGCGAGGCGCGGCTTCGCAGAGCAAGACGCCAACTCAAAAGACGCCAGGCATCTTCGCCAGACACGGACGGAGAGACTGCTTCATCGCAACGCTGCCCGTCCCATCCCAGTTCACTGGACACCATTCATCAACCATACTCTCAGCACAAGCTCGCCGTTTTCGGACCGTAAAGCAGTTGACGTCAACCCCTTTCGCTATAGATGCGTAAAATGGTGCGCGTTGATGGCGAAAAACGGAGACCGCTTCTCCTTGACGGGGCTTCTTCACCTTAATATCTCCATCCAGACATTGCACCACTTGGCAGCAGTAATACCCCTCCCCCTCCCCCCATACGCCCCAGCCTGTCCCATCACACTTCTCTCCGAGCTCACCACCACCACCACCACCACCACCAGCCGGACACGCCGGCGGCCCACTCCGCCCGGCGCCTCACCTCGTTCACGAGGCCGTGTCTGACCAGCTCGTCGGTGAGCAGTGAGCCAGAGTCGTCGGGCGCCAGTCGGCACGACAGCTGCCGGTTGGTCTTGTCGTCCAGCCGCAGGAACAGCACCAGCTGGCGGCGGTCGAGCGCCCGCGCGCAAGGTCAGGGGCGGCGGCCGTCGGCGAACGCACGTCGACTACAGCGCGGCGACAACGGCGGATGGCCCAAGAGAGCGCCGAGCGCCGAGCGGCGACGGCGGCCAAGGGCGCTGGGAGACCCGTGTGAGATGAGTCGGAAGGTCGCCGCGGTCACAGACCTCGCTCACGCGCGGGCTGGACCAACTGGGCGCTGCGCAGAGCTGCGTCGCATGCTCACGGTGACACTCCATGGAGAACGCGTGACGTTTCGGCACAGTCCATTACGTTCAGAAAATGTAACGTGCGCCAAAAGATGGCCAATGATCATTGGACATTTTCCGCAGAACGAAACTGTGCTGTCGCGATAATGGCCACTGCCGAAACGTACAGCAAAACTACACAGAGAAATTCCATTCAGGACATACATACAGCATAATAAAATGAAAAATCCGCTTGAAGGTCTAGGCATCTAGTGTATGCAAATTCATCTCACCGCTTCCAGCCAATATGAGCAATGTAAGCCAAGCGATTAATTGTAGCAGTTTATCAAATTAAGTGTCCAAAGGCTTTATATGACCAACGAAATCACTGCGAAAGTAGCACGATCAACAAGCAAATGAACAGCGCAAACTAGCCAGCAAGATACAGCAAAGGGAAACAGCGGAGGCTGCAAGGATTGGACATAGAAACCAAAACAGTGTTTCAGAACACAGGCAGCGTTTTTTCGAACACAGATTGAAGAACAGGAAACAAGCAAGAGGGAGGCGTTCAATATAATGCCTCAAGATACCAACACACTTGAAAAGAGCAAACTCAAATCAGACAACTTGTGGCCAACAAGAGAACCCAGCGACAAGCATGCTCGACCCAACCAAGCACCAACCACCACAACCGAGCAGCGTCAACAACAGAGCACACCATCCTGAGGAGCACGCCTGGCGTCAGCGAACGCGGACACGGCAGCCAGCCCCGCCGCGCGCGTCCGCGAGCCGGAGGCAGACAGAGCGGGCGCCGGCGCCGAGCGGGCCGGCACCGGAGCGCGCCGGCCTTTACCGTCAAGCTGGCGTCGAGCGCTGGGTCCGACTTGACCTCGCACATCATGGTGACCACCTTGCGGCCCTCCCGCTCCGACGGCTCCGGCGTGTCCGAGTGCACCGACTCGATGGTGTCGGGGCTGGCGGCGCGCGCCTGAGTGACGGGCGGCGGCGGCGGCGGCGCGTACGCCGTCAGCGGGTAGATGCCGACTCCTGCCGAGAAGGTCCGCGGTCAGCCCCGGCCGCGCGCCCGGAGCGAGGTCACGGGACACACACAGGCAGCGGGTGGTCATCCCCCCCCCCCCCTCTTGGCAGTTTCTGTTCACACAAGCGGAGCAGCGCGCTCCCCCGACGGCCGCAAGCTACAGGCACGACTCTCGCCCTGGACTCTGCATCTGTGTCGGGGTTAGCCTGGCTAGAGCAGTGCTGCACGCATAGCGATCCCACCTATGGCAGCGCAGCAGCGGTGACGGCTCAGGCACGGCTGCCGGCTCTCTCCGCTGGCAATAAACCGAAACCACGCGCACGCGCCGCAGCCGAGCGGGCGCGCCGCGCCGCCGCTCGACCCGCTCACCGGACGTCCTCGACGAATTTGCCGATGTTCTCGGCCGAGGTGACGTCCTGCACGCGCAGCTGGGTGGGCTCCTGGCCCTCGTGGCGCATCTCAGCGATCACCAGGTCCGGGCTCAGGTTACAGTACACCTCGGCGTCCTCGGGGCTGATGTCTGCGGCAGGGAGGGCGCCGCGTCACGCCCGCCGCGCGCGCTCCACACGCGCCGGACGGCACACACACACACACAGAGACACCAGCGTACAGTATACATGGTCGGCAGCTGTCCGCGTCACCGTTTGCCGCCATTTCAGCGGAGGATGTCGGCGGCAGTCGACGAGAATTGACAGCAGCGAAGACTTTGTAACGGGCCGTCGGCAGCGCCACTGCCTGCAGGGCGGATGCCGGTGCTTCGTAGACGTATTGCAATCCTGTTTTATCTAGGTCCTCCACCTTCGCCGACGATCATCGCAGAAGATATCGAAGAAGCTCAAATGCGGGAAAACCCGCCCGGAACCCACGAGCGC